TGAGTGGCAAGGCGTGGGGCTCATTCCCACTTGAAGCTGAAAGGATGCTGTTTTGGTGAGAGCTGCAGGAAGGGAGATGTGGTTTGTTAGGAACACTGCAATTGTGAGTCCCAGAAAACAAAGACCCCCTGCTTCTCTTCCTAACAGGGCTGTGAGCAGGCAGAACACTGACGAAAACACAGGAGTCAGTGGTACCAAGTTACAGTCAGGTAGGAGAGAGCAGTTCCGGGGTGCTGCTGCACGGTGGGGGTGATTCGATAATGATCACGTTCATCTCAGAAAGCTAAAAGGATTCTGAATGTTTTTGTCAGAAAAAAAGAGAAATCTTTGGGGAGATGGATATATTTCACCTGATCTCAGCATTACACCACAGAAACATATGCTGAAACATCACATGGTACCCCATGAATGTGTACGATTTTAATGTATCAGTTAAAAACTAAAATCTAACCATGATTTAAAAATCCACAAAGGAGTGACCTCTTCCTATTTGTCCTATTCCAGATCTTGCTATAGCTTTTATCCAGGCTCTGTGGGTGTACATGAATTCCATAGCAATCTTTTGCCCCTAGGGGAAAAATATGTATTCGGAGTTAAGAGATCCTAATGGAATCATCCTGTGCCATTTACAAACCCATGTAGCTCTGGGTAAGTCACTTCATTTCACTGTGAGCCTCAGTTTCCTCATCTGTCAGATTAGAATGGTGATTCTTATTGCATATTATTATTGTGGGAATTAAATGAGATAATGTGAAAGTACTGGGAATATGTTTCAAATAGTGTTTAATACATGTTTTATTCCAATCTTTACTATTATTTTCAAATGCAAGGCAAGCACTGACTCAGAATAGCCAATGGTAGAGAAAGCATGAGAGAGTAAAAAAAGTTTATCACTGGTAAGTTCTTTATGTTAGCAATAAAAGGCTAAAAATTCCAGGCTGCTATTCTTCTGAAGGATGGGTAAAAATAATCTTAAACAGCTGAGCAAATTTTCCACGAGTCGGGTGGGAACCTTCAGCCTGCAGCAAACACAGAAGCTCATTCACCGTGCCCAAAGCACATCCATGCACTCACTGCTTGCTTTTGGAGGAGTTGCTTTATATTCCTTGACAGTTTCCTGGGTTCTCGAACACAAGCTTGACAAAGAAGATTTTCTGTCTGTCTTTCTTTTTTATTCTAATACTATTTCCCTGAGACTTTTGATTAGAATATTAATCCCTTCTTGTGCTTTTAGGCAAGCCAAAGCCAATCTAATTGAATTGTTCATTATAAGCATCTTTTCTAATGAGTTTGCAATCTAAAGGAAAAAAAAACACTACATGGGTTCTTATGATAATAAAGAGAGAATGGAAAGACCAACTAATTATATTTTCGAATCATCTTCTATCAAAGTCTCTCTCTCAAATATCAAAAAGAGCAGGCCAGTGTTCATAAGTCACTGACTTGCAGGGTTGGACAGCTCAATAAACCATCCTGTTCAAAAACCATTTTCTTTATTGCATTTATTTTATAATTCAGATTTTAAAAAGCATCTGTTTCTCTTCCTATGTCCCCCCCCCCCCCAACCCTCAGTAATGCTGTTAGTAAGCCATCCATTTGCAAATTCATCGACTCAGATATTGGCACTGAAATTTGTAAAGTTTCTACTTGTTTCTTTTAGAAATCTATTTGTCCTTATTTCTTAGCATTCGGTGTTTTATGGGCTGTATATTTTCCTTCATCTCCTCACATATTTGGAATTTCTGTTTGCTAAGAGCCCCTACCAAATTGCTCCATTACTTGCAGCTCCTCAGATATAAATTCTATGTGTCACATCTTTGGATCTACTTTCTTGGAATTTGCCTTCCTCTGGGATTAGTAATCTTGGACTATGAATTCATCTTGGGAGCCTGTGAAATTTCTGCTTGGGTGCACAGGGTGTAGAAGTCAGGGACCCTAGACTCACATACTGAAAGCAATTGAAAGTGGGTTTTGGGTTAAAATCATTAGAACTTAATCTAGCTGTGTACGCTGTATTAGTCCTTCTCTGGTCCTGTGGTCTTAACTCAAACAGAGCCATGGTCCAATATTTTGAGTTTGGAACAGGAAGAAGCATTCCCATGCCTGTTGAGTCCATCACCTTCATCTGGGCTGATGTTGCCCTAATGTTCTTTGTACCTAACACTTAACTTACTTGAACACCATAAGCTATGGATTACAAAGCTTATTAGTTTTGAGCTGCAGTTGCATCCATGTTGGTAATGCTGGCTGCCATAGAGAGAGGAGCATGGCAGAACACCTGGCACCATGGGGACAGTGTCTAGAACTGATTCCATGTCAGATGCACAGGAGAATGCCACACAGTCTTTTTTTTTTTTTTTTGGTACCAGGGATTGAACTCAGGGGCACTTGACCCTTGAGCCACATTTTATATTTTATATTTTATTTAGAGACAGGATCTCACTGAGTTGCTTAGTACCTTGCAGTTGCTGAGGCTGGCTTTGAACTTGTGATCCTCCTGCTTCAGCCTCCTGAGCTGCTGGGATTACAGGCATGTGCCACTGTGCCCAGCTGAATGCCACATTCTTGCCTGGCAATGACAGTCCAACTTCTCTTACTAAATGCTTTCCCTGTGGATGATTTTCTTTACCTTTGTTAATTCCTGAGTGATTGTTTCTCTCCACCCAAAACATATTTTATTAAAATTATTAATAGCATACTAATTAAGTATTTAAGATCCAACCTCCTCAAACTTAATGAATGGCTCTGGGATATTTCTAAGTGGTAAATAGTGGGTCCACTTCCATCAGCCACTGTGGTCTGATGTGTGTTTTCTCACAGAAAATGCAAAATGCAAACAGGGCCCCAGCTTTCTGCATTCTGCAAGGATATGCCATCATGGTGATGGTGGTTAAATCTTCCATCATTCCCAATCATCCCTGTTGAAAGTAACCCACAAACCCAAAGATCCCAGCTTTATCAAGAAAAATCCAGAAGTTCCTTTCAGCTTATAATATGAATTTCAGTGAAAGCAATATGTTAATCCCATACTTTAGCTTCTTGGGAATTAATCAAGACAGGTATCTAATAATGGAACACCATGCTATAATAAAACTTCACTCTAGAAATCCCAAATGATTATAAATCACAGTCACAGCCACTCAGCCACAATGGATGTCCCACGTCCCTTATGTCCCCCACTATTCCAAATTCCTGACTGCTGTCTCCCCCACCCCCAATGAAGAAACAAGTAGGGATGAAAGATATGTGATCAAGTCTAATTCATGTGCTTTAAAAATTATCCTTGGATGTGCTGGTGTTAGTGGGAATTCTTCTTATGTTGAAATATGAAGGGTCGTGGAAGGCTGTCTGGGGAGCCCGGAGAGAGGAGGGATCCAGAGACTGACCAGGAGAAGAAGGATCCAAGAACTAGCTGGGAAGGAGGCGTGGACTTAAATGAACCCCTGTGCTCTTACACTCCCAAATTCTCTCAACTTAGAACTTAGGGAATTGCTCCACTGGACTCATCGCTGATTTCAGCTGATCAGCTTCTTGGCTAACGGGGAGGAGACATCATCTTAGAAATGTGGCTCGTGGAGACTCTCACAGCCTTCCTGTCTCCACCCATGTGGGATTCCGGTCAGTGGGACAGCTGCTTTCTCTAATTCATGAACAAAGCCCCAGCATTCTTATGTGGAACCACTCCATTTTTACTTTTTTGAAACTCTAGTTTAGCAAAAGAAACTGTTTCATTTCTGATTCCACTTTAAGGGGCATAAGGAAAGTGATTGGGTGGGAAAGGAAGTACTAATTTGAATTCCTAAGAAACTATGATAACATTTAGAATTTATATGTATTATGAGTTTTATGCTAGAGCTTATTGCCTGCATGACAATTCATTTCAGATGAAAGTTTTTAACATACAAACCACATCACTTAAATTTTAAATGAGGCTAGTGAGTATTCAATATACTGTGCATGTTTCTCCAAATCGCTGAACGTTCTGATTGTACTAGGAATGTTTGAATGACAGCCTGTGAGTCAGCCCTGGATGATGTGGAAGGAGCCTGTGATTCTCATTTTGGCTTCCTTGATCTGTAGCTGGGTGACTGTGAACCAGTCACTGGGCTTCCCCAGACTTCTGTATTCTACAGGGAGTTAGTTACACACACACACACACACACACACACACACACACACACACCAATGCCCTGCAACTTCAAGATCTTTCTTCTAAATGGGTGTGCCTCTTTTGAAGGCAAGGACAACTTGACAAACAGAAGTGACCTATCACAAATCATTAAATAGTTATGTGTCTATATTAATCTGTACAGATAGTTTTAGTCCCACACTCATTTAATTAGAGTCTATATTGAACACCAGAACTCTTTATATTAAAAACAACAAAATGAAAAGAATTTTGCCTTTTGCTCAAGATGAATAAAAAAACTCCATGTGAGATTATTACAGTCATAGGTCTTTTTCTTTCTTTCTAAAAGTTAACTAGCACACAAAGAAACTCTTCCCATGTAACCTGTGGCTGTGGCCCCGGGAAAATGAAGTCAAGGTCATGGGTCTGGGCCCTATCTGGACTAGCTTGCTCCATTCCATTTGTGGCCATGGGCTGAGACTCTCAGGCATCTCTGCTTTGCTCACTGTCACTATAAGGTGAAAGGGTACAGACAGATTGGTTCATGGTTGGAAAGCAAAATTAAAAGCATGCCCTGAAGTTAGGGAGTCAGGATGACACCATCCTCTCAAATGCAATATTGTTAAAATAACTCATACAAAAGGAACCTAGCCTCTGACAAAATACAACTTGTTAAAGTTTAGCAATAGTTAATATGGTTCAGTTGCCCAGGTGAAAACACAGTGGCAGGGACATTATTAGAAAAGAAACCCGCAACAATGTATCACGCAATAGTTAGAATATGACAAAGTTAAGAGATTTCTGTCCTCTGAAAGCTAATGCTATGAGGGTGACGCTTATTTGATGTTGTCATAGTTATATTTTTCAAACCGCAGTCTTGTGTGCATTATTCTTTATTTGTTACCTTTTTAACCTATAAATGCTGTTAAATCAGGGGACGGCAAACCATCTGGCAGAGGCACAGGACTGGACTCCTGGCACAGAGGCTGCCCTGTCACTCAACAGCCACACAATCTTACACCGGAAACTTAATCTCTTACCTTGATATTCCTTAAATATTACAAAATATTTGCAATGGGAATACCCACACCTGTTCTCAACTCTACTTTACAGGTCAATATAGGTAAAAAGCAAAGTCTTTGGAAGACATAAAAACACTTGGAAAATACCTTTTTATAACACAAGGGTAAGTGAAATGAATTTAGTGAAAAAGCTCAGATCTTCAAAAGATATTATTGACATTAATAGTTCTATCAAGATTTTAATAATTCTATTAAGAAATTTTAATTCAGAAATTCAGAAGAAATAGTTACCATTATTATTATCCAAGCCTTGACTTTAAACACTATAACAAGGCATTTGTTTAATGCTGATGGAAAGGCAAAATTCTAGATACCGAATTGCTTCTACATTAATGCTTGTGATGCCAAGTGTTTGGCTACAAATTGAGGCCTTTAGGCCAAATCTGACCAACAGGCGTATTTTCTTTGGGCCCCAAAGTGTTTAGAGCTTTTAGAATTTGAATACTCTGTGGTTTACTAATCCTTACTTACCACTCTCTATTTTCTGATTCTTTAGGTCAGTGTAGTCCAAAAGAGATACACATGTCATTAAATTTTTCTAGTAGCCACATTAGAAAAGTAAACAGAACAGGTGAAATTAAGTTTGATAATATGTTTGATTTAATCCAATATACACAAACTATTATTTCAACCTGTAATTGATATGGAAAATATTAAGATATTGTATTTTTTTGAGCCATTTCTTCAAAATCCAGAGTATAATTCATGCTCTCAGCACCTCCCCGTGGAGACGGCTGCATCTCACGCCCACAGGGCTGCATCTCACGTGCTCCTGCTCACAGGGCTGGCTGCTGCTGTTTGCTGTAGGTGCTTCCCTCACCCAAGTGTCCTCCCTATCCCTCTGGAAACTGGTCTGAGTGCTGGTCCCTGAACAACAGCAGCGGCATCACTCAGGAACTTTTAAACTTTTGTTAAAAGTACAAATCTTAGGCTCCACCTCAGACCTACTGAACCAGAAAGTCATGTGTAAGAAGCCCTCCAGGAGATCAGGTACATGCTAATATTGGATCTGTGGGCATCTTAATCTGCAACTCTGGCTTAAATGATGATAATCATGATTAACAGGCAAGATCAAATCCAATGAACAACTCAAGTGCCCTCTGCTAAAATGTGCTCAGTGGGTCTTTGTGAGGCTTCACTGACCAAGTAAAAGAGACTCCTAAGTATAGTTTAAGAATTATGCATTTAGCTGGGTGTGGTGGCACATGCCTGTACTCTCAGTGGCTTGGGAGGCTGAGGCAGGAGGATTGCAAATTCAAAGCCAGACTCAGCAACTTAGTAAGGTTCTAAACAACTCAGTGAAGCCCTGTCTCTAAATCAAATATAAAAAAGGGCTGGGCAGGTGGCTCAGTGGTAGAGCACCCCTGGATTCATTCCCTGGTCAAAAAAAAAAAAATATCCATTAAACTCTGTTTCCTTTACATCTTCCGGACTGGCTTAGGGTATGCCCAGCATGACACCGTCTAGTCAAATGATCCTTGAGCTGTGGGTGGGGTAGAGCTCCACCTCCACATCATCATTAGAACAAAGAATTACCTGGGGAGGGAAAACCTGACTCAGGTTAGTGACAGAAAAGAGCAAAGGATCTGAATCCAGTACCTGCTTTACTTCAGAGGTGCTGCAGAGTCTGGCTTTTCATATAACTTCTGTCTCTTTTTCTCTGTCTAGAAAATGATATCGTGATATTTGTGATGGATGACAATGAATTAGTAATATCTGTTCAGTTGGCCTCACAGTACTATTGAGAAGATCAAATGAGATCACAGAAGTGGAGAGTCTAAGAGGTGCTAGACTGTAGGACTTTTGTTGGTGTTAAATTCACACTATCGTGTATATGGCTCATATTTACCCTGCAAGCAAATGTGGATAAGAGAGATTGGGAAATTGCATGCGGTGTTGGAAGTGAAAGAAGCTAAGGTACAAGAAGCAAGGGACGGACTTGGGGGAGGTGCGCTGAGAGACACTGCTAAGAATCTGCTTGGATTGGACAGTTTTGCCAGCTTTGAAAAGTCCTCTTTGAATTCTATATCATTTTAATACATAAATTACAATGTTACTACACTACTGACTGTCATTAAAAAATCTAGAACGATCTATCTTCTATTATTTACTGCTCCACCCCTTCTTTGTGTTGGCTACTTGAACTTCCTAACTAAACAGCCTGTGATCAGAGCCACAGAGGCTGGGGCAATGAAAGGTAAACAACACTTTGCCAACTGGAAAATAAGATGCCGGTGACTTCTGCTTCCTGTGAACACGTCATTAGCAATAAATGAGTCACCAGATGTCACACATCAGACTCAAAATTAAGATCTATTCCAAGTATTTGTGTGCAGTCTGAGTAGGAGTTGAAAACGAACTCTTCCCAAGAGAGCAGCCTAAGATAACACGCCATTTTTGCCTTCTGATAGTTTGACCCTTTCTAAATGTAAAATGCAATGCATTCCTTGGTTTGCAAAATGAAAAAAAAAAAAAAAACAAAAAACAAAACCACAACGCATTTCTTCTTAGGGCTGAGGAGCAAGCAGCGTGTCATCCTGCAGGCCCAACTGCATAAGGCCAAGGAGGAGACTTTTGAACGTTCTGTGCCATACCAAGACCACCAGCCCCTCTGGTTTTTAACTCTGCTATAGCAATTTCATCTTTTCTCACCTTCACACCTTCATGTTCAGTAGGTGATCTCTCCTTTTACCACCAGCAACAAAACTGTTCAAGTCAGCAACTGTCAGCGTCAATGCCACTCTTCCTGAACTCTGCCATGACAGCAACCTGGGAGTGCTCACCTTTCCCCACCAGGTATGACAACTCTCCTCTCGTTCCTCCAGCTAGCTAAACCCGACGCTGCTCTGTCCTTGCAGTTACCAGTCTCCAATCTGAAGGCAATTGTGGTCAGGGAGGGAAGCCCACAGTAGGAAACAGAAGAGCACAATTCCACTCGAGCCAGCAGAAATTTCAGATGATAAGCTGGAATGATGGAAATATCTAACACTCTCTAGTTTTTATAAACAAACATTTTTTTGGCTGAACTTCTCCGGCCTAGTTCCTCTGCAATTTCAAAATCTTTACAGTTGCTCAGTTCCAGCTGAGGATCGTGGCTGTTTGAAATCATTTACTTTTTTTTCTCCCCAATTAATTTTGGCTCTTATCTCCCCTAAGACAGGTGAAGCTTATAAAGCAAATTTAAAGAGTGAAAGTGTATCATCATTCTCAAGCCTCCTCTTAGAGAACTATTTACACAGAACTTCTCTACACATAGAAACCCTCCAAAGCACTTTAAAGTTTATTTCTGGATCATTAGCTACACATCAGATGTTAGAGATGCAGGAGATACTGCCCTTTGACCTTCACATAAAGGAAGACAGAGCATCATTGATTAGTTATGTCAGGGAGGAAAAAAAAATATCAATTTAATCCCGTCAGCTACAAAACTTTAACACAAAGTGATATACAAAGGTCCAGCTAAATTTATTTAATGTACAGCTATTTTATTCTCTATTTTTGCTGGTCTCTGATTCACAGAATTGACAAATAACAGCTCAAGGTATATCATTTATGATTAAGTGAATATTTGCTATGTGCCAAGTATGGTGTTGTTTCAGTCTTTAAAGAGCACTAGGAGGGACATTATCATTCCTATTTTTTAGCTGAGGAAGCAGGCTCAGAGAACAGGTCCTTACATTTTTGATGTTCTAGGAGGGTATTGAGGCTCCATTATTTTGAATGATTGATAATGTTATCTGTCCAGTGCTTCTCCACCAGGGGATATTTTGCTTTCTAGGGTCATCTGGCAGTGTCTACACACATTCTTCATTTGTACAGCTAGTGGTAGGGGTAGGATAGGGGGGGTATCAGCATCTAGTAGGTAGAGATTAGCCTGATGCTGACCATTTTACCAATTACGAGACAGACCCCTCCACCCCCCCCACCCGCAAAGAACCATCTGGTCTAAGATGTCAACAGTGTTGCTATAGGGAAACGCTCTTCCGGGCCTTACTTTTTTTTTTTTTTAACTTTGCTAATTTTTCTCTCTTTTATGAAATGTTAACTATATGTTGCATTTTATAGGTGGCTTTGGTTTTCTGTATTTTATTTTCTCAGGAAAGCTATCGATTTCTCAAAAGATAAAAACCCTCTCGGGTTATCCCTGAGCAGTCCTGGGTGGTGGTGGGTGCTCAGCAGGAGCTCTGAGCCTGGAAACTGACTGAACACCTGCCGTGTGAGGTCATTTTAGAAATTACCCTCTCTAAGCATTTTATGGGAGTACAGGATTCTGCACAAATACACTAGAAGAGTGCATTCTTCATATGAGCTTCAAGAGTTGACGGCTGTTTTCTGGCCCCAGGTCCCCACTTCCAGGAGGAGGCCACCCAGTCGGGAAGTCATACCCTGCCCTCTGGTGGCACTGCCATCATAGGCAAGGCAGGCATGACTGAGGGCCAGAGGGCATCCATTGCACCCTTAGGGTCTGAACCGATTCTGCAATATTTGAATATAAATACAGCTTTGCATTCACCTAGGCCTTTCTTCCATGAGGAACAGCACAGGAAATATTACATGTCACCAAAGCTCTCATTAGAATTAAGCCAAGGAGGGAAAGTGAGAGAGAAAGAAGATGAACATTTAGGAATAAAGGAGCCCTTCTGGAGATTTGGCATCTGAAGAGTTTAGTTCATTAGCCTCATTTTTCTGTTGCTTGCCTTCTCTACAAAACTGTTTATCTGCCCCATGAGGGCATAGAATATATTTTTTTTTATAGCAGAGAAGAGCTTTATAAAAAGCAATATGAAGAGACTTCTACGGCCAAAATTCTCTGGCCACATACTAATGGATACCAATTCCTGAGGCATTTTCCTTTCAAATTTCTCATAGACTAGTTCAAGAAGAAAAGCACCATGAAGTTTGAAAGACCAGCTAAATCAGAGGGAATTATACTTCTCCCTCTTTCCCATTAAGAAGTCTATTCTTTTGCTATGAAACCCCCACTGAATGTCTTATCAGAGAGAGCAGCTTTTTTCTGTATACTGCTGCCAAATGGGTAACATTTTAGTGGGGCATTTGAAGTCATGATATACAACTCCCTGGGAGACAAATAAGGTCACTCCCAAGGTCTCTTCATTGAGAACATCAGAGCTTTCCAAAGATGTACACAGCCTTTCCTGGATAATCAGGGTAAAACAGAAATGAAGAAAAATCCTATAAAGTCCAAAAATAAAGAAACAATCAGATGGAAACACTCAAAATTGGGAGTGAAAAGATATGGCGAATGCTGACGCTGAATCTTAATATATAAAACCAAAAGCACAGAGGAAAAAAGCAACGTAATCTAAGAAGTTGAGAGGGAATCAGTGGACTGTAGGATTAGCAGGGATAAAAAGACCTAGAACAAACACTGGCCTAGAATTAGGAGTGGGGGTCTTGGGGCTTTTGCTTTTCCCCTCTAGAAACTGAGACCTCAGGCCAGTCATTAAACCACCCTTGAACTTTGACCATACAAGTAGGAATGGAACTGTGGATCCTCTACCCTGCCCTGGAAAGAATGTTGTAAGAGGAGGTGTCTGAACTGATTTCTTCATAAGACAGTGTATACTACACATTCCATATAGAGAGATTAGGTAACAATAAAAACCAGTTTAATAAACGGCTGGAGTAGAAAGCTAATTTCCATACCAAGAGCCATATATTCAGCACTTCGAATCTTAAAGGGAACACACATTTTTGTTAGCAGAGAGTGTGTTGCTGGAAACGAACCAACCATAAACTGAGCAGTTAAAAAGTCAGGGTCAGGGTTCCTGGCTTCATTTCTGACTTATCATGCAATTAGCTCATCTCATTCTCTTTTGGTCTCAGTCTTTTTTCCATCTAAAATGGAAAAAAACCCCCCAAAAACCTCTATGCTGTCAAGATAAGGTTAAATGAGGCAGGCGAAAATGATTATGATGTATTACACGCTCAATAGATATTATCTATTATTACTATCCTATATATTATCAATATCACCTATATACTAAATTGCCCCATAAACTTTACCTTATATGTAAATTGGTCACATTATTACTTATGGACAACAAATCAATTGGAATTGGGTTAGAAGCCCTTTTAATATAATAAGATGTGATGATATAATCTGTTAGTAATCCCATAAAGCAACTTAAAGAATCAATTTTCAAATTGAAAGAAATGAATTTAAAGAATCAGTTTTCAAAAAAAAGAATGAACATCTAAAGTATAGATGATTTTTAGATTATTTTAAGGTAGAGCGTCAAAAAATATTATACCATAGACCTTTGCTTGGTGGATCATAATTCAACCTAATTAAATGATAAAGATCTCCTTAAAAATGTAGGATATTAAGAGAAAAACAAATTTCTTTGCCTGCAGCTTCCCTAGTATTCATGTAGGACTCTTCCTTGAATTATCTGACTTAACATGTGGTGGTAGTTGTTTCTTAATATGACTTCACAAGTTCACTTTCTAACAATTACACAACACTGTAATGTAACTGGTAATAACATTTTGGGTATTATTTTATTATTATGTAAAATAATGAAAACCATATTAGGCTAAATATTTTTTTTACTCAGAATAGGGTAGGCATATTTTTACAGTTCATTAGATCTTTATGAGAACAATGTAACATGCTAATAATTTTGGATATCTTCATGTGAAAAGATTCCAATTCAGAGAAAATATGTTCTAAAAATCAGACAATTCCAATAGTCCCTCTTGGATACATATGTAAGTCAGTGATCATCTTAAAGTAATTAACTAAATAAATTATATGATGTATTTATGTTCAACCAAAAATGAAAGTGATGTTTTTACATGAAAAGCCATTTTGCAACTTGGGGATTTTCAATTTAGTCTTAGAGAATAGTTTATGTGGATCAGGAAGTCGCAGAAATTTCTGTGATACAAGGAAATTCACGAATCAAATGTATTGTTCTTCTTCAAAGACATCCAAGAATAAATTTGTATGCCCTTTGTCCCTGGAAACATACACAATTTCTATTTTATCAGTGGTGTTAGTTATCAGGTTATACAAGTGAAGTCTATTTTAATTTATAATATAGTGCAACTATTATTCTTTAATCTTCTGTTACCCTTGAAATAACTTAAGACCGAGAACCACAGAATTTTATTGTTGGAATGGACATCAGAGATTATATGTGTCAGCATTCACATGCTCAAATCCTTCAGGGACTGGGAGGAACAGAGATGAATGAAGTGGCCTGGTGGTGAAGGGAGGGCCTCCCCTTTATTCGAGAAGGTCGAGGAATATATTCCCTAGCTTTAGTCAATTGTGATCATGGTGATCAGAGTGGGATACAGCTGATTTTTAAAGATAAGTTAGAAATTTCAAATCTTATGTGAAATAACTCATTCTGAGAAGTTTTCAATTAATGCAAATGAAAAATACAGCACCAGGGAACTGAATTGAACTCTTCTGCAGTTCAGATTTGGTCTTAGTCCTGCCAATTTGCAACTTAGGATCCAAGCCAACCCCCTAATTTTTCAACTGAGAAAACAAACTCCTAGCCCTGCATGATGCTGCAGACCCCATTCCAATGTGTCTATGTGACACTAAAGACTTGCAGTATACCTCTGCTAGTCAGACATCTCCTCTCCCATTTCCACAAGAAGCAGCAATTGTGGCCCAGGAGTTAGAGGCAGGGGAGACACAGAGCCCGTGATGGCAGGAGGCATAGCTCCTGCCAGCAACTTATTTTTCCCTTTTTATTTTTTCTGTATCATAAAGGATGCTATTATGTCTCTTAGAGCTACATTCCATTAAGTCT